GTACCTTACGGTCTGCTAGATGCCCAAACATGTAGGTTGTGAAGATTGTGCGTATTCGAATTGCCTTCACAAGTAGAGATGCATTCACCAATGAATAACACATGTGCACTTAAGTCAGGCTGCGCTGATAGCTATTACAAAAACCAACGTTCAAACTCGACACGTGTGCATAATTTGCGGGTGTCAAGGCTTGCACCTTCCGTATATCATATATGTGTATTACTGCATGATATTCATTTATCATTTTCTCGTATAAAAGCGCCTCCAATAACACTATTATATTTTACTTTAACAAGCAAATATGAAGGCTCACTTTTTATACTATTCCCATTTTTTTTAAATCGACCCATTTTATCCTGTAACAAATGCATTTCATATTTGATCTCCTCTAACGCAATAAGGAACAGAAAAGCGATAAGCGAGTTTATGAATTATAACGATATGAATTGGTATTATTGGAGATTTCTCTGTCTAAAAATATGTTTTAAATCAAATATTAGGGAAGTGGAAAATTGAAACCTGCTAATTATTGTACAGAGTATTCAGAGAAAAAAAGAGATACCGCAAGCATAATATATTTAACAATTTTCTGGACGGTAAATTAGTTAAGTGTACTAAATTTTAAATAAGTATTATTCAATAAGTATTATTAATATGTAAGTATTATTTATAAGTATTATAAGTATTATTCAATAAGTATTATTTATAAGTATTATAAGTATTATTTATAAGTATTATAAGTACTATTGAATAAGTATTATAAATATTTAAGTATTATTCAATAAGTGTTATTTAAATAAGTATTATTAAGTATTATTTTACTTCAGAAAAAAATTTAAGAATTAGTCGTAATATGATAAATAGATAAAAATTAGACTTTCAAATTAAATGTATTAAAATATTTACCTTTTCGTTTAAACAAAATTATGCATTAATAATTTTTAAAATTATATACCTAGAAAACAGGGAGAATAAATATAAGCTAAAAATGTGATTTGTTGGCGAAATTTCTGAAAGTTTTCGCAATTTTATCTTTCGCAACGTATCAATAAGAGAATGACGAAAATAGATGTTAATGTATTCAATTTTTTAAAAAAATAAGTTCTCTGGAAATAATGATAAAATTATTTGTATTATGATCTATTTTTAAAGTTTAATTAAACTATCACAATATTTTATTCATTCACATTACATTCTAAAGAACAAAAGATTAATTAAATCTTTCCAAAGAAAAACATATGCATAAAATTCTTACTAGTTTTGGTACACACACACACGCACGCGCACACACACTTTATTCAGTGACTTGCAAGTTTAATGAAAATGAATAATTTATTGTTTATCCTGAGAAATTGAAACTCAAGTTGTAAAATATAATAACAGTTATATGAAAAAGAATAGGCTGCTTCATTCAAAATAGTATCAAATATAAAGTAAAGAAAACTTTGTGTCTAGTAGCTCAGTTTGCTGCAAATTAATAAACATAGATACAAAATAGTTTGTCACAATATATAATTCTGTAAGGTTGCTTTATTTTTATATTAAACAAAAGTTACTGTCTTACATGAAAGTAATTCCAAGAATTGCAGGGTAAAAAACGATGTAAAGGGAATTAATTGAGATTGATAAAAAATTTGGAATCATCTTCAGTTGTTTTGAATAAAGGAAATTAAATGCATGTATTTATATATGAATCTAGATTTACAGTTTTGAATGATTCGAAGAAGAGAATATATGATGATTTAAGTATCAATATTCAGTTTTAATTCTAAATTTCAAGTTAAAGGAAAGAAACATTAAAAGCATTGGCAGAATATGAAGTAAATGAAAAAGTTAACTCTAAAAGAAAATAACTATGCAATTGAATTAATGGACTCTTTTAACACTAACCCCAGAGAGAAATAGGTCAAAAATTCCAAAGAACAGATTTTATTGAACTTAATAATACTAATTTACTGCCTCAACAAAAAAAAAACCCTTTTAATTGCACATACTTCAATCAATATAAAATTTTCGTTCTTTTTAAAGAAACTAATGTAGAGAATTTTCATAAAAATACAATATGTATTTATGCTGATGATTCCCAAGTAGAAAGCAAATATTTCTGAACATTTAGCTAGTTTTAAAAACCTTCTATAGAATTATGAACTTCTACTAAATAGTTTGATTGGAAAAAAATGACGGTATATATTCCTTTATTTTAAAAAGAGGCAATTTTTTTCTGCCTTTTTCACAGTATGTTAATATATTCTGGTATTGACAAGAATAAATTTATTTCATCATCAGAAAAACTTCTAAAATTTATCATTTCCATAAATTTTAGTTATTAAAATGGTTAAAAGAAAATCAAAAGATTGATAAATGTGATTTTAAGTAATATATTTAGAAAATATAATGTATGAATAATATATAACCTAGAGTTAAAGCAGTTTTGACATTCGCGTGTCAAGTACAGTGGTTCCTCCAGCTTTGGATTTCTGTTGATAAATAAATGATGTTTACAGTTCATTATATTCGATATTTTTCAACCGATTATAAAGAACATTTATTATATTTTCAGAATAAATTCATTGAAAATTCTTCTGAATCTAAAAAAAAAATGGTTGAATGTGTGTGTGCGAGGCTTAAAGAATGTACAGATCCTGTCACATATTTCTCAAAATAAGAATAAAGTTACGAGAAGTATATGTGTTTAATGTGAAACATGCAATAATAATTGTCTTAAATTTCATAAAGTTAGCTATAGAATAAATGACAATTTTTGAGAAATAATTTTGAATTAATAACTAGTACTGTATATAAATTAACTAGACTTTAAAAATAATATATTCGTAAAGAAGTCAGACGAAGAAAGAAATCTTCCTAAAATGTTCCAAATTAAGAATTAATAACGTTTAGTTAGAATAACTTTAGTTTCCATAATAATGCACGTATTTTTAAGAATCTCTCACAGTTTTACTTTAAATAAATAATTAATGACAAGAGTCTGGGTTTAAAATTTCTCAAAACAGTTTCAGTTCTTTGTTAATTAATCTGGCGTATTTCAATTTCCAACGCACTTAATTTTTTGTTGCCGTTCTCAATATTTAGTAATCTATTGAATGTTAAATAATATTTCATGGTTTGTTAACAAAGAATTTGTAATAAACACCAGTAGTAAAGAAAATATGATCAATATATTCCATGAAAATATGTTTCACAGCTAAAAGAAATCATGGAATACGTCTTTCATTAAAAATGGAAAGTCACTTATAATTCTACATTCGGATGTTATATGATAGCTAGGAAGAAGACAAAAACAATTGTTTCATTAATGAGTACAAGCAACTATATGCAGTTATAAAATAGTATCGAATTAACTCAAAAATATATAATTATTATTTAATGGAGTACTTATAGTTATTGAGTTGATCGAATCTATGAATAATTAAAAGAATTCAGACAGTTTAACCTTAATAAACTATACAGAATAGGTTAACTGAAGATACGTAATAACAGTTTTTAAAATGGGTTTAAAAATTTACAGACTTTCATATGCTTATGTAAAGTAATATAATATTTCTTTTAAATTCTAGGTAATAGAATGAAAGGGGATTTTAATTCTAGGAATCGAAGAATTATTTAGAAAATGTAAATTTCAACCAAAAAAAAATATTTCATTGATTTTCTACATGTTCTTTGTAGCAGAAATGCATAAATCTTAGAATGAGTAATTTTATGACAGTTATGTTTATTTTGATTTATTTATTTACTATGATTTCACCCTGTTATATCAGCGATTTGTTTTCCAGAAAGTCCATGTTCAAAGCTGTTTTACAAATATTCTAAAACAAAGCTGCTATACAGATATATTAAACAAAGCTGCTATACAGATATATTAAACAAAGCTGCTATACAGATATATTAAACAAAGCTGCTATACAGATATATTAAACAAAGTTGCTATACAGATATATTAAACAAAGCTGTTTTACAAATATTCTAAAAAGGGAAGTTATTATTTTCTGATATTTTATCTTATTGGTGTTCTTAGATACAAAGGTGGTTTGAAACGTAAACTTACTAGAAATGGAAATTGGATATTATATATGGGAAATAGAGGTTAACTTACTATATCCTTCGCATCCCTATAAAGAAGTCACCATTACCTTTCCTGTGATGAAAATGTCTTCGTCTTTTAGAACTGATTCACCGTGAAGGAGTGATAAGATGTGAAAGCGTATACCTTACTTCAAATGGCTCAGGTCATTAATTATGAATGATCCGGGACAATTTGATATTATGAACATCAATACTGTATGTATTGTCTATGAGAATGTTACTCGTTCAAAAAAATTAGATAAAATGTATAAAAATATTAGCTAACGTGTAGTTGAAGAGATACAGCTCCTATCAGAAAGTTCTCACGCTAGTAATGAACATAGTGACAAAGATCAAATGTCGTAGATATCAGTGCAAGCAAGATTGAAGTATCTAGAAAAAGACCACAGAGAACCTTAGGTACATAATGAGAACGTGAGTATATTGGTTCTATGTTTGGTGCATGATGGTGCGCTTAGCCTTTATTGGCTTCTATCTCCAGTATTGATGTTTGAATCAAACTCGGCGTTTCTTTCGCGAACCCAGTGCAATTAAACTATTATTGCAGTAAATTAATAAAGTTTGTTTCAAAACTAAAGTAAATTCGAAGTTAAAATAATTGCATTAAAATGCTAGTAATCTGCCTAATGAAAACAGAATTTATAATCAGAGGTGTAGGGGAATACAGGGCTATTTGCAACTTCCAATCAGAAGGGAGTAGATATTTTTGAATCAGAATTCAGATCAGAGGAGTAGGGGAGTACAGGGTAGAACCTTATTCTCCAATTAAGATATTTCTAAAAATTTAATACTGTAATATTTCTAATTTTTAATACTGTCAGTGCTGGCTTCTGAATCCGAGAACTCTCATTTTGTAGACGAGGGCCTCACCTCTCCGTCACGGTGTTTAAAAAATATGCCAACGGCACATGGTGCTCCCAGGTGGTCACCTTTCCAAGTATTTACCGTACCAAAAGATGCTTAACTTCGGTGATCGGACGAGAACGGGTGCTTTCAGCATGGTATCTTCTACTCATCCAGGGTGAACTCAGGAGGTTCCGGCAGTCGATGGAGAGAAGGCAATCCGGATATGTGCAGGAGGGAGATCGCGTTGGATAGTTGGTGAAGTTCAGTAACGGGACCTAAAACTCTTAACAATGCAAAATAAACAAATATCAAAACAGGCCAAATACTTCTTTTCCTCTTCTACTGTGCTTTTCTAGTATTTACACGTATATAAATACCAACACCAGAGGTGCATACGCAGTCGCAAATTGTATATGTGCGCACATGCATAAATAGTTTGCTTTAACGTACCGCCTTACGGCAAGGTGAGAAGGTCGGTAGCGGTTCAAGGAGAGCCAACACTAATGAACACAATCCATTGTTATGATTGTTGCTCAGTTTTTGTTGAAAAATGAAGAATGCAGTTCTGATCGATGACGATAACTCAATGCAAACTGAAAGCGATACCAATCATTTTTATTTGACTGTGTATAGTTGTTAGATCAAAATTAACCAATGAATCATTGTCATATTTGTCTTCGTACCATTTAATAGATGGCGGTATATAATAGTAGTTCTTATTTGCCCTTCCCAAACCCCATCTGTAGAAAAAAGTAAATACTTCTTGACAGGTACATCTCCAGAATGTAACCTCGAGATCAATGATGTGAATTGGACGTTCTGGAATAATGAAGATGTTTCCAACTATGATTATAGATTAATGGAATGATGAACATTTATCTTGGATTACTGCGCATTAATTCTTAGCGTATTTTCTAACTTCACGAGTTCTTAATTGCACATCGCACAATTTGCTCCTCCTCCAGTAAATCAAATGTTATAAGTTAACTATTACTGTTCTTATTACTTCAAACCAAGAGTTACTTTTGTTATACCTTTCAAGCCAATAGTTACTTTTGTTATATCTTTCAAGCCAATAGTTACTTTTGTTATACCTTTCAAGCCAATAGTTTGAAAATAAAATAATTAAAAATAACTATTTAGTTCTCTTTTCGGATCTTATAACAGGGTCTGGTTTCATTGATCTATTGAACTATTCAAATTGTTTCAATTGCTCTTTTCATAATAAGAATCATTTCTTTGAATCATTTCTGGGCACAAATTTGTAAGGTTTTTTTTATTTCTGTTATCACATGAAAAATATGGTTCTGCATTTCATAATAATAATAATTTATTGTAACTTCTAACTCGCAAGGAGATTTTGGTAGATTACTGATTGAATTTTTTTTCTTATTTTTACTACTTTGTAAAGTTATTCCTTGCATAACAAATGTGTGTATTCATAAAATTCTTAGAAATAAAGAATATGAATGTACAATATTCATTAAATCAATTTGATTTTTCATAAAATTAACCTTTTTAAAAAATATACTTTCCTTTGAAAATTATTGAAATGCATTTTATTCAATCTCCAGAAGAATATATATATTTACAAATATCCTTCATTTGCAATAGATACAATTACTATAATTTACTTATATATAAAACAATATTCTACATTTTTTACCTAAAATGCGAAAAATAATCGATTGTTCTTTAATTTAAGTGCAAGGCGAATACCATTTATAATAGGCGCTTAAAAAAGAAAAAATTACAATAATATTTTATATATGTGTCTTCTTAAATTCTTTCTTTCTAAAAAAGTTTTCATATAATTACAGTTAAGATGTTTCGTGATGTATTATCATTGATGAAAAACTTAGAATATTTGTAACTCTAATTTCTTTTTTTAAAAATTTCGAATAAATAAAAAAAAAAGTAATAAATAAACGAGCTTTTAAAAAATTATATTAGGAAAGGTAAATTTTTGAAATTCTTATACACAATGGGAAACTCATTTAGTTTTTAGCATCAGTCACTAAGCAAAAAAAATAAAACTGTATATAACAATTATCGTAATGCAAGTTACGCTCCCACATGCAAAAACATAAATTTATAACTCGAATTTTATTAAAAAATTTAGTAATTTGTTTAAATGTATGAATGTTTTTCTTACAAAGTTACGATAAACGGCTTAAACTTCATTCTAGGTTATTATATAAGACGCAAATTTACTTGTTTTTAAAAAAATATATCAATTATTTTTGGAATGAAATAAATAACAATCGAGAATAACAGAAACAAGAATCAAACTTATCTGAATAAATTTAAATTAAATGCACTTTTGCATAAAATTGAAAAGAAGCGTAACTCACATAGTCAAAATATTTTAAATGATCATTCCTCTTATACAAACCTTTCAAAAGTTCTGGTTAAATTAGAACAACCAGGAGAGATAGTAAAGTTACAAATGTCTTACTCACATTGGTAATTTGTAATTCTAATGTTTTCCAAAATAACCATGTATGAAATGAGTCGTGTGTTAGGGTTCCTATTCCACGAAAGAATAAAATTAGTAGTAACGGAGAGCAGTCCTTCTGTAAATTGAAATAGGCATTAAATTCATGGCCATGATGCGGTGTGGAAATTAGGGAGAGAAGTGTCAAATCATATTCTCCTTACCACCTTTTAACGTTGGCTATTCCCGTACACTACTGCAATTAATACACTGGGTTAAATTTCGAACTGCTTCCTAACGTGATTACATAAATTAGATTAACATGAAAAGGATGATAACGAATGGATTTAATTAAACATTTAAAAAATTTCGGGGAATTAAATATTAAATTTAGTAACGATTTGGTATATATATATATATACTCTATAAAAAAACGACGCACCAAGAAAAAGTGTTCCGATGAAAACAAAAATTGGTGGATAGGAAATGTAGGTATAGAATAGAAGATGATTGAAATTTCAGGAAAATTGAATGATTTATTTCAGAGTTACAAAGTTACAAAGTAACGAGCTCAATAAGGTGTTGACTCACTTCTTGCATGGATGCAAGCTGCCACACGACGTGGCATTGAGTGATAAAGCTCCCTGATGGTCTCCTGCGGTATTTCTTGCCAAATGTGCTCCAATTGTCGGAATAGATCATCAACATTCCCTGGTAGATGCTGTCGCCTTCCCATCATATCCCAAACATGCTCGGTTGGAGAGAGATCTGGCTGGCCAAGAAAGTGTTTGACAAGCTGCAAGATAGTTCATAGCAACACGTGCCATATGTTGTACGGCATTATCTTGCTGAAAAATACGACCAGGGTACTGCAAAATGAACGGTAGCAAAACAGGTCTCAGAATGTCGTCCACTTACCGCTGTGCTATAAGTGTGCCTCTAATGACGACCAAAGGGGTCCAGCTATCAAGGGAAAGGCCTCCCTCCAGACTTTAGCTCCTGGTTGGGGGCCTGTGTAGCGTTCAATAGTGAAAGGCAGAAACGACACGATGCCCTGGGCGTCTCTAGACATATCTTCGATGATCTTTAGGACACAGTTGGAAGCGGGATTCGTCGCTAAACACTATAGGTCCCCAGTCAGCATCAATCCCAGAAGATCGAGCCAAACACCACTGTAATCTGGCTGAACAGTGTGCAGGCATGAGTGGCAGTTGGCGTAGCAGTCGATAGGAGCGTAGATTTCGCACTATCAGCCATCTGTGAATGGTCATGGTGGACACTCCTGTGAGGGTCGCACGTTTTATGGTTGATAACAATGAATCAGGCACTGTTACAACTGATCTGACAATCAATCTATCCTCACGATCTGATGTGGGCCTAGGTCGACAGCTACCAACACGACGCTGCAATTTGTCACTGTCCACCCACTCTTGCCAGCATCTTCTAATCGCAGCAGAGCTTCGACCCATAAGACGAGCAATTCTCCGATTTGACCAAATTGCATCTTTCAATCGAATGATACGACCTATTTCAAACTCAGACAGTTGCTTGTAATGAGCTCGAATCCCGTGGTAAGGCATTTTTTCAGTCCTATCCTATATAAAGATATCCTAAATCACAATGCAATAGAAAATTTGACCATCAGATTGAGAATCGCTTCTAATATACATCCTGCTGAGTGCGCCGTTCCGATGCGCTGTAGCTTCCACTATTCATTTGTTGGACACCAAATTTTAATCATTTGTATGTTCGGTTTAATTGTCTTTGCATATCGAGCAACTCCTCCTTGGTGGGTCTGACTAAAAAGCAACATGAAGTTTCATTGGCGACAGACCTCGTAATTTTGAGTTTCGATTAAGTGATGAGGACGACACTCGAGCTGGTATCTTCCTTTCCAAACTTCCATTCCATGCTAACTTGAAAACTTAGATCCTAGATTAGATTGGATGGGCATGAGCCCCACTGCACGATGGGTGTTTAATGTTATCGGAGTTGCCACGTTAGCCTAGTATTCATGATAATGGACTCGTGGCTATAGATTTTTGTTGTGTCAGGAGTTCGACCCTCGATGTGTGTAGCAGGGGCAGATGCACGTTAAATCTGTAGAGGCTCAAAATTTTCCTGTTGGCGTGGTGTGGAAGTTAGGAGAGGGAGGTGCCTGCTCAGGTGGCGTCTTCGACACTTGACAGAGGTTCAAATTTACGAGGTCCTCCCCTAATAATAACCCCCATGTTGCTTCTAGTGTGATATTATTAAAACCAAACTAATTAGTGGCATCCGGACTCAAACCCTTAATTCGACGTAAACAGTGCCGCCTTGACTGCTCTACTAGGAGCAATAGGCTACCGTGACCGCAATAAAAATAACGAGAAGCAACATATTTTTATTGAACTGAAGTCCTTTTCTTCCTTTTTAATGAAAATGTTAAATTAATTTTTGACATAGACACTGAAACTCTGTATTAAGTATTTTAAATTTCTTTAATATCGAATGAATGTTTCAAGTAAAGGGCAACAATATATAAAATGTTTCACTCTCAAAGATTTTCTCTAAATCGCTTAATTGAACATTAACTTTAGGATCTCCTGAGAGTCTGTTCACACTCAGAGCATTCTGGGTTGAAATTACAACTTTTTAAACAGATGAGACATCTCATGTGGTCTTCCTGTACAGACCTTATTTCAAACTGTCAAAAAGATGGATTGCACGAAGGAAACAGTTC